TTTGCGTTGCTTTTCTCGAATTTTGACGAATTTCAGAAATTTTTCAGAAATTTTTCAGAATTTTTTCAGAAATTTTTCAGAAATTTCTGAAAATTTTCTGAAAAATTTCTGAAATATTTCTGAAAAATTTCTGAATCCAGAGATTTTCTGCTGCCAACCATTCAAAAATGAAGGAAACTAGCTGTTTTGCTGCTGTTTTCAAAGTTTTCAGCTAGTTTTTCACTACTTTTGGCAGTTCTGCTGCTATTTTCAATTTTTTTACGTTGCTTTTCTCGAATTTTGACGAATTTCAGAAATTTTTCAGAATTTTTTTAGAAAATTTTCAGAATTATTTCAGAAATTAATCAAATTTATCCAGTACCTCAGCAGGCTGGGCAGAAAGTCTCAATGCTACCATGCTCCACCACAATTCGTGGATTTGCTGAAAGGTTTCTTTGTCCACATATATCTTTATATATATATTATTATATTATATTATATTATATTATATTAATTATATATATATATATTATATATAATTATATAGAGAGATTGACCTAGATCGTGGATTGACTGAGTAGAAAAGACACACTTTAAGTCATGGCCGTGTACCTGGCGGTGCATCCCGTATCATAAGTGGCAAGTTTTGACCATGGCACATATGAAAGCCCATAACAAAACAAAAACACATAAAATATGCACCTTTGCTTATTTCTTATGTAATTTACGTACTTCCCACTCAGTGCCAGCACTCTGTTACCATATTCCACATAGGTCCCCATATAACCTCTGAAATCCGCATGTGTGTGTGTCTTTCCCAGGAAAGTAAACACATCATCATTATCATCATCATAATCATCATCATCATCATCATCATCTTAAGCAGCAAACCCCAGTCAGCAGAAGCAGGGCGACTCGGGTTAGTCCCGCTGTTCCAATAGAACCCCACCCCAGCCCAACAATTTATAAACTGGGATGTTCATCCCCAGTTCGTAAGCGAACTAATCTCCGCAGTCTGATCCAGTTGCAGTCTGAATATCATCAGTTTTCTGGAAAAAAGGGCAATCTCAAATCCAGTGGTTTATCAACATGTTCCTTATTGAAGTACCCTCTGGTTATGACTAACATAGCCATGGAAGCCATCCCATAGCCATGGATGATTTTCTCACTAAAACCTCCATCTATGGTTGGGATTTTCCATGGCTATGTTAAATAACCAGATGGTACTTATTTTGAGGGCATTCCGGTATCCCCCATTTTCAGACACACCCATTATCCAATCCACAGCTCGCCTCCCCTGGAAATTCATCCGAAGATCCCAGCGTCAGAAAGCCTGGCGGAAGCAGATTCATGGCTGGACCATCCACCATCAAAGGCTGTCTTGTTGTTGCTGAATTTGACGTTGTGATACGAAACTGAATTATCACACTTGTGTCTTTAAGTTGTCAAAAAGACAAGTATTAATATTGTTAATACAAGTTAATATTATTAAACTGAATTATCAAAGCACTGATTGCGCAGACATGTTGGCTCTTTGGTGATATTTCGCAGTCTGCCTCGTCACTGCTGGGGAGTCCCCTGGGTCCCCATCCTGACCTCGATACAGAAGGGGCCATCAAGCAGTACACATTGCGCAGTCGTACACCCCAAGTTACGGATGGTACACCCCAAGGTACTCAAGAATCACTAGGTAAATCCCCAGGATAACTTGGCCTTCGACTTGGCATTCGACATGGAAAAAAAAACAAGTTTGGATGGTGTCCCCTGGGAAAATTCCACTCTCCACCATAGAACCTATCCCGGTGGATGGTCTCCCGAAATGTTCCATTTGTGAATAAAAACCCCACTTTTTGTCGTCAACTAGGTCGATAAGTTCCGTATATCTACCATAAACCAAAGAGTTATTGGAAGATTTGGAAGTTTAAAATCATTGCATATCATTGCCATAATCAATTATAAAATAATATATATATAAGCTATATATATGTATATATAAATTCCCACAACATTATTGGTGACAAAATCCCCATTTTTCTGGGGTAACTTACCCAACAGGACCTAACGGTCGCTGGCGCACCGTCAAAGCCGTCGAAGCCGTCGTCCCGGAAGTCAAAGCGTTCGAAGCTTTGAAGGTCCTGGAGGCGCTCGAAGTGATGGATGGTTTCCTATAACTTTTGGCACCATCTACAACTGGTTGGTGGTTTCAACCCCTCTGAAAAATATGAGTCAATGGGAAGGATTATCCATATATTATGGAAAATAAAAAATGTTTGAAACCACCAACCAGACAAGGTTCTGGGGAAGTCATCATCTATAGTGATAGGAAACCATCATATAAGTGAATAATATATCACAAATAGAGTTGGAAACCTGGAAATTATGGGGAAGTCATCATCTTTTTTTAGGTTCTGGAAGCTCTGGATTCTACTTTTTGCAGGTGGTTTTTTTCACTTCGAAAAATGACGACAATGGGTGAACATTGGGGTTTATATTGTGGACTCTTGGTGATTTAAACATTGGTTTTCAACGAGAATCCATGAGAATCACCGAGGGCTGCAACCACAACTCGGTTCCCTTCTCGAGACGGGGAGTTTTTCGCGAATCAATCCTTCGGATTCGCAGGAGAAAATGCTGGAAAATGTTGCTTGGAGACAGTTGGAGACTGGAGGAAACTTGGGATTTTTTGGTGATTTTTTTTGCAGCAAACACGGGTGAATCTCATCAAGAACTGTCGGATGTAGCATGACAATGGAGATGCTGTGCATTCACATGGGTTTCAAGACAAACCCCCAAAAAAATAAATGGGTTGGGATGGTCACTGATTTACCAACAAGGGTTGTAATTGCATTTAGTTTAATCAAACTTACATGCACATTAATGATATTAATGAAATCTTCACAAATTCAGGCTTTGTAGGGTTGTTACCTCATTTTCTTGCTGGTCTTACCTTCAGTAGTGACTTTAGAATCGGTATTTCTCCATATTACCAGAATGGTTTTTTCGAGAAAAGCTGCAGGAACCTGGTTCCGCGAAAAAACAACAAAAAGTTAGTGGCAGCTAATTCTTCCTTTCATCAACCCGTTGAATCAAGATTTTGGATGAAAAAGTGATGATTCGCACGTCGGCCGGTGCTGGGAAAACCGCTCCCAAAATTCACAGATGATTCTCCCATTGAAAGCTCCATAAAAATTGTCGGTTGAAATCCCATTGCCACGGCTATGATTAGCTGAGGCGACAATAATGGGATGTCTAAGTCTACGACAATTTTTGCACTATTCCTAGTATAATAAGTCGCAGTTTTTAATCAGTCGTTTTAATTCAGCAAAAAACAACAAAAGGTACGGAACCCCACCATAAGTAGATATCTCGGAACTCCAACAGCTATTGTACCAAAGGTCTATCACTGAATGACTGTATATAATGACAGCCCGTTTATGTCATAACACAGTGGTCAACCAGTGGTCAACCAGTGGTCAACCATTTTCGGACATCCAAAATCAATCAAAATCATATGTTCTTGGCATATGTTCCCATTGTATCCCCACTACGAAACCAATATGACCATTATATCCTCCTTATTTTTTTTAGAGTATATATCATCTATATATCCCATGATATCCCCATGATATACCCATCATAGTGGTCAATATACCATTATTGTCTACAGTAAACACTATATCCCAACTATATCATAATCAAATGGTATATATATATATCACCAACATTTCCAAGTTATATATGTACCCATCATATTCCTCTTATATCCCCATTTTTTGGGGTTTTTATACATACAAGTACCATGGTATACATTGCTATACCACTTGTACCCTCCGGAAACTTCATGAAGTGGCCATTAAATCCCATGATATTCCCAGGAAAAATCCCATTCAATCACCAATAAGTCCCCAATAAATTCCATTCAATCACCAATAAATCAGATAAAATCACCAATAAATCCCATTAAATCACCATTAAACCATATAAAACCCCCACTAAATCCCCAATAAATCACCACCAAATCACCATGATCTCCCCGACTCTCCTCCAAGCCGTTGCCCGCCAAGCGTTGCCGCGCACGCTGGCCGAAGGGCACGGCGCCCTCCTACGAGACTATCCCAACACCACGGGGGTTCATCATGATAAAAGTAGTTGCGACCTAAGATGGGGATTTGTCACATATTTATGGGTTAATCACTTAAATCTGGGAAAACCGATGGTCCAACCTTGTTGAAATATGGCTAAACAATAGACTCATCATGATTATTATTAATTATTATGGATAAATGGACTAATTTTATGTTTATTGGATTAATCAAATGATCATTAAACTAATAATGATCATTAAACATCCAATCTTGTTTGAATCATTATTATGGACTAATATGGCCTGGTTTCATAAGGTTTCATACGGATTAATAATGATTCAAATGGTGATCAACATGGTTTCATATGGCTTGACATGATATGGTTTACTATGACTAGAGATGGTTTCACCATCCTGAACAATGTTTGTAATTTTAAACATGGTAAATACCTTCACAAATTGGGATGTGCATGGATATAACCTCTGCAAGGTGGGAAACCCCAGTTATAAGTTGGTTTATGTAAACACATCCAACTATAGATACATCCCCCGTAAACCCTCCTTATAGTAATTGTAAACCAACTTGGCAAACTATTAGGCCAAACCCTGCAGGGATCTTATACCTGTCAAAATACCCCGATATGGTCATTAAATGATTGGAAGTACTGAGCAATCTTTGGTATCCATTCATTTCAACTAATCCCAGCCACCTAGATTATCAACACTCCCCATAACCCTGTTTTGCATTGAAGTGTACTGTCCCAAAATATCCCATCAGAAAGTGTAAAAGGGTTAGATTAGAATGTTGTTACAAAAAAAAGGTTTCTATTCATTTCAACAAAGATCGAAGTATTCCAAATGATTATTATATATTTATTATCATCCAATTTTGAAAACATATCTTTTTAGATCATTTTGAAACAATCAACCGGAGAAACCAAGCTGTAACATACTCCCTATCGTTGTCCAAATCGTCAACTCTTCGCACCTTTTTTCAGCCATTTTGTTGTAGCAGAAAGTCTCTGACTGCTGCCAAGGCTTCAGGTGGTGGGGGGTTCACTTCATGACCGTGGCCTCCAAACGGAAGCCACATGGCGAGGCCGGCGAGGCCCGAGGTCTTGTGGGAAAAAGATGGATGGAAAAGTAGCTAAATGCTAATGCTAACGGAAAATCATGAGGATGGAAGTTGGAATATTGGATGTATACATAAACATATATATGGATATACGTATAGTTACGTATCTATCTGTCTATCAATCCATCTATCTATCTATCTATCTATGTATATATATATATATATGAATGATCCCCTGTCTCGTGTTCACTACACCCCCCACCCCATATGCTATGGGGGTTACCCCCCCAACCCCCACTTCCCACCACATCCACAGGGGGATATACATAGACATATACATATACAGGTACATACACCCCCATGTATGTATGTATGTATATATATATATATATATGTATGTATGTATGTATGTATGTATGTACTATGTATACAACTTACATGTATATATATATATGTATATATATATATACCTTATATATAAATAACTTATATATACATACACATAGAATCATATAGATACACATATACTCATGTACTTGCATAATCTTGTATATATCCATATACATAGGGACCATCACCAAATGCAGGGCAATATGTAAATGAAATATATCATAATATATCTATACATAATGTGGAATTATCCTGGTAATATGATTTTTAGGTGTGTCTGAAAATGGGTGATACCGCAAAATGGCAATACTAATAGGCAAAATGCACAGCATGGGATGTTGGAGCACCTTATTTTCAGACAAACACAACACAATCTTAATCATCAAGAATGGGGATTTTACCAAGGGATTGACTACATTGACTGCTGTATTTATGAATCAAGCGTGGATTATTGAAACATATCCTAAAATGACACCAAACGCTGCTGAAAAATGTTAGGTTGGATACCCAGGGGGCGCCAAAATCAAGATCAAATCATATTTTCTTGATGGCAATGGATGGCATGTAGTTGATGTAGATGATACTCTTACAAAATACAGAGGCAATGGTGATGATGATGATGATGATGATGATGATGATGATATTCTATCTGACATATGTTCGGATATTCTATCTGACATGTCATGTGGCGTTCTATGTCGCATTCATGCTGGCGTGTCTCCTGCGGACAGGTGAATATGGAACTTAACTGATGATTTGAGGAAGCTCCGACCAAGGTATGTTCTTTTGTACATATGTATATATTATATATATAATATATAATATTTATATATATATATATCGGTAGATCTTTTATTTAGCAGCTGGTCAGGAAGCCACAAACGAGGTTTCCCCTGGATTTGAGTTACACTGTTTCTTCAATAATTACGGCATGACCTTTTGTTACCCTCTGGTAATTTAACATAGCTATTGAAAATGACCATTTATAGTGGATTTACCCATTGAAAATGGTGATTTTCCATAGCTATGTTAAATTACCAGAGGGTAAAAGATTTTTAACACTGGGGTTTTCCTGAAACCAAGATTATATAAAAGTCCCCTATACAAGAAATATCAAGAAAAAACATGTGCGCAAAAAAAATTATCGATTGCATCAGGGACTTTAAAAACAAGAGTTCTTTCGTGACCAGTTTTCACCACGATTGCATTTTGAATCTTTTTTTTGATATTTTTTGCTGGTTCAAACACATATTAAGCAGTTGCGATTGCGATGATCCTCACTATGTTCTCTCCACAGATGATCTTGGGGACCCAACAAAGCAAACTTTTTCAGAATAGCAGGTTCTCATAGTGTTCTCATATTTCTTCATTTATGAGCTGGAACCTGCAGTTCCAAAATCAGAAAATCATCGTGAAGTGACAAACAAATCCACTTAACTAGTCTCCTGACCCAACTATATGTGCATTTTTTGGCCCCTGATATGATTGTTAGCTCAAACATTATCTGAAAAGAAACTATATGTCACCTCCTCAACCAACTTTCTTAATATTATATATATGTATACTATATATATATATGTATACTATATATATGTATAATATATATATATATGTATGTATGTATATTATATATGAAAATATGGTGGCTTTTGAAGAACATCACCAGTCAACACGAGCGCCTTCAAGCAAGACCATTTGGGCAGGAACCTCCAGAGACTGTAGCTTCTCCACGAACTCCTTGGTGGTTTCAAGTGGAAAATCCCATGGCAGCACTCCGAACACTCCGAAGACCCTCTGGTAAACTAACATAACTAGTGGATTTTCCCAGCTATAAAATGGTGATGTTCCATAGTTATGTGACAGTTTACCAGAGGGTATCTAAAATCCTATCTAAAATCCCATGGCTCATCATTTTCACCATCATTTTCACCTTGATGTGTTGCCATTCTTTGGGTATCTCATGGGTTCCATGTTCAAACACAACGCGGTGAAGCACATGGAACCTCCTCACCAGTGACGACTGCATATCGGAAAGCACAGCCACAGCACAAAAACCGCTGCAAGAGGGGAATTCAGCCTACTAAAATGCCAGCTTCACGCATAAAATATCAGATGGTTGGCAATTTCGTAATTGGAGTGAGCATTAATAAAACCAATGGGAATTTGAGGAAAAAACGCATTACCGGAGCCTTACCGTACCCTTCGGTAAACAAAAATACAAGCGCCAGCTTTCAGTCACATCAACCCGCGAGAAGTCCCATCACAGCATGGCACAGCAAGACGGAGAGAAGTCACATCAGTCTACATCAGTATGTTAAATTCTAATGGCACAGCAGCACAGCATGTATCTAGAGTGAGGCTGACTCTTGGCAAGGGGAATCAATGAGGAAAGGAAGGAGAAAGAGTATAGCCACACAGCCAAACAGGGCAAACAAGACCACTTTTATGTAAAAACATGTGATATCCGGATCTTCAAATGTCTCATGTGAAAAAAACAACACAGACTACGTATTTCCATGTATTTCCACTACATTTACCCTCTGGTAAACTAACAGTTCGCTATTGAAAATGGCCATAGAAATCGTGGATTATTTCCATTAGAAATGGTGGATCTTTCCATAGTTATGTAACAGTTTACCAGAGGTTAAACCTCCATTAATCACCATTAGATCCCATTAAATCACCATGAAATCCCATTGAATCCCATTAAAAATGGTGATTGTCCATAGTATTTCCACTACATTTAAATGTTCAAATGACAGGTTCCGTTCCTGTGTTCAAAGCGTTCCCATGAAAACCCCCGAACCTGGCCTGCGAAGTTTCCGCATCCAGCAGGTGATCTTTCGTGCCATGCAGCACAAGGCTGGGAGGCCAGCTGTGATTCACCACATCAAAGGCGCCTTGGAAGAATTTCACAAAAAAAAATAGGGATAAATCATGGGAATATCATTAAATCATTGATATTAGATAGGGATAAACCACATGAAATATATAAGATCATTCGTTGTGGTTTCATGGGAATATCATGGTGATTTGATAGGAATTTAATTGATTAGTGGCACTATAATGGGAATATAATTAAATCAGGAGTGTGGATGTCATGCGGACAAAAAATAACTGCATAGCCAAATGGTAATTGTGGATGGGTATAGTTAATTGGGACATAACTTGGAACATTAGGGATGTATATGGGGATAAATGGGGATGTATGCAACTAATATGATGATTCACGTGATGATGGAAGGGGGTACAGTACCCTATGTTCCGACAAACCTTATGGAGTTGTTGGTTGACATGTTGACATCTCCTTTTTGATTCTATTGGCCTACCCTCTGGTAATTTGTTACATAGCGAACTGGAAAGATCCACCATTTTTAGTGGGAAAATCCACGATTTCTATGGCCATTTTCAATAGCTACGTATTGTTTTTGTCATGTTTGTCCTTGCAATTGGACCAGCGGACCAGAAATGTGGATTCAGGGATTCGACATGAACCAGCAGGAATAAAAGGAAGAAACGAGTAATCAAAACCTGGGATTTAGCTAAGGGAAATGTCAGAAACCAACAGAAATGGTGATTCAACAAGAAAGTTTGATTTTAATATGTCTGTTCTAATTGGTAAGTGATTTGGAGAAATGCCAATCTTCATCAACCAAGGCAACTGATGAACAAACTGCACTCGAGCAGTTTACCCCAGTTGGCTGATGATTAGTTTGGGGCTTCTATGGGCTTCTACTTACTAATTACTTATAGCCTTTCTATAATTGGTGGGGATCATCATGATTCATGAGCTGGGAATCCCTTGAAAACCAACCAACAGAAATTGTTGAGGGGATTTTCCTGCTACAAGACCATGTGAAATCAAAAAACATATATAACTTGGAATTTGTCCAGCCATATACCACAATATATGAATATTACAATATGTCCATGTTTTTCGCATCATCTCCCGCTGTTTCCTCATTATCCCATTGTAGCACCTACTATTAATCGGAATTTACATCCCATTAGAACTCAACTAAACCCCATGGTTATTCAAGCTGTCCGATAATTTTCCCCATATATCCCCAACATATCCCCAATATATCCATATTGAGTGGTTCACCCAGGGAATCGTAACTAGCTTTTAAAATCACCCCAGTTTATGACGATCAACCTACCTCTTCTGAATTCACTGGACTGAACCCACGTACGATGCATGGGGTGAACGACTAAGAAAATTTACCATCACTTTATTCCGACAGAAGATTGCTTCTCCTGCCATTGCAAATCGTCAGACCATCACCCGGTGATTCTCCAACTGACCATCGATCTGACCCAAAGCCCCCAGCGAGCCTATCTGTTTGCGTGGCCCTTTGAGCGCAGGCGCGAAGCAAATCAAGGCATCCGGGCGACAGGAAACCTCTGGCGCCAGATGCCTCGATTCTGAGCAGCGCAACAAAAAGATGCATTCAGCATGGCATTTAATCCAATGGTAAAGGTGTGATGAATTTATTTTCCTTTTTGGTGCTTACTAGAATCTACTGTAGAACTTGAACTGGCAAACGAAATGATGAAGTTAAGGGGCCAAAACGTGGGATCTAGGTAGCAACATGTGTTTTTGACTGGAACAAAAACATCGGAGTTTAGGGGGCAACATTTGGATTTATATAATTTGACTAATAAAATGAAATAGAAGGAAAAATGCTGAATTGGTAAGTCAACCATAGAAAATGTTAAAATTTTGGAACAGGAGAATCGCCACGAAATGAGTGAACCACTGAGCAGCTTTGTGGGCAGTTCCAATTTGGGGCTATGGAGACCAGACATGGGTAATTTCTCCAAAATTCATGGCGTAGAAAACACCAGTTTTAGGTTTGTGCCAAAATGGGGTATACCCACGAAATGAATGCGTTCATGTTGAAAAATCATGACCAACTGTATGATATTTAGCCAGCAAATGGGTATCCAGCCAGTGATAGGATTATATCACAACTTTTAAGGTAATTGCCAAAAGCATCATTAATATTTATACCCATATATGACCCCAACTGCACCCCCAAGATTGGAAGTTCGAGATTTACTTGGGTGTGTATACCAGGAATGGTACAGTATCTAGTTAGTTACAGTTACAAGTAAAAATAGAAATAGAACTCTTGACGCCACCTGATGGTGGCGCCCAGCTATAAGTTGGTTTATAACCCCCACGAACTATAGCCTGACCTATCTATACCATAAACCCAACAGTGAAATGTCCACCAACTTAGTGATATAACATGCTGTAAGTCAACGAACTAAAGCCTAATTTTCCTGTGCTAAATCGCAATTTTACTGTGGCACCACCTTGCAGTAACATTTTCGGTGAGTGAAGCACCAATCAGCAGCTATAAATCCCTTACAGTAATCCCAATTGTTGATGAATAAATCAGTAAATGTAAATCCCGTTTTTGTCCTCCATGTTTGATGTAAAATCATGCAAAAAAAAACCCATGGAAACCCTATTTTTTTCATGATATCTGATTGTTCATCGTTAAAAATCCCATCTGTTCCTCTTGTTTCCAGGCCTCATATCTCCATCCAGGGCCACATCCGCTGCTGGCAGCAAGGACACCAAGTGACCCCCTGCCATCGCCCGCCAGCCACGACAGCCACGACAGCCACGAAAAACTTCGTGGTTTGGGGTTCTTTTGGTGGGTCAAAATCCAATGCTGTGGGATTCAATGCCATAAACCTACCATTTTTGGCATGGTCTTAGACCAACCCATTCTTTGGTGATGTCGGGGGATATGATGGGTAAACATTTTTTGTATGGCATTGTACGAGTAATCATATCGGTAATGTCATGGAGATATCATGGAGATATAATACGTATACCAATAATATGATTTTTGGATCTGAAAATTGGCCAGAACCATACCCCCAAAATGGCCAGAACCAGTGGTTCCTTGGGGAGTTTATATTTTCAGAGCCATACTTCAGAATAGGTCATTTTCAGTGTTTGGTGCAGATTTGGGCAAAGACGGATGGTTACCGTAAAATTGGTCAAAGATGCATGAGGCCGGGTTCAGAATAGCTGTAACAATTCCAGTGGCATAGGCTACCCAATGGCTCGACCAATTACCCATAGTCTCCGCTCCTGAAAATTGTCTTTTGTTTTACTAGATCTCGTTTCAAACAAACTCGCAAAGAGGGTAACGAGCAGAAACATGCCGACACCTGAATCAAAAACCATTGTTTGAAGCCCCAAATTTGGGTGACCTTCCTAAAAGTCAATGAATACATGTCAATATCAGCTGATTAACCACGATTACCATGAATAACCATCATTAACTAACTATATAACCGCATCCTGGGCTTCCCAAAAAAAGGACCAAAGCCTGCAGAATGCCCCATGGCCACCAGCATGTCCGGCTTCAAGCGAAAGTCATGGGCGTGCTGGCGCAACATGCGTACCTTTTTTCGGCTACGGAAAGGAAAACCCAAAGGAAAAGCCAGCAGATGCAGTGTGGCTGAAGTGCTTGGCGGGGTGCAGTTCCAACCAAAGCCATATGCTCCATGTATGGAATATGAATCCCTACATTTACCCCAAAAATCAACCAAATGTAGGTAAATATTCCATACATGGAGCATCTGGGAAAAGGTACAGTGTGGAGATTTTTTGTGAATATATAAACACACTCAGAGGGGTTATATATATATATCAACTTATGGAGATATATGGAGCCATTACCATGATTACACCCATTTGCAACCTCAACCGCACCCCAAGTACAATGTGAAGCCCCCAAGACAGCTAAGTTTGTTTCTGATTTAGGCCCAGGCTAAGTATGATCTATGGTAGATACATCGAACTAGCTAATCGGAGGTGTAAACCAATTTCGCCAAGAAGGGGAGCACTTGAAAGGGCCAACTATGGTCAACTTATCTAGTTTTTTCAAATATTATAGCTATCAATATACCTGGGGATTTCACCATTTACATATGTTTATATATATATAAGTAGTTGTTCAAATTCATACTGGGTCCTTTAGTGGGAATAGGACTCCCCACGGGGTCCCAATTAAATGTTATAAGTTATAACCTTCATTAGCTGATATGTGTCCACCATACATTCAATCAGTCGCCTATAATGGGGTTTATATAGGATTAATTTGGATTATGGATTATTAAATATATATATATACATACTGTAAATGGGATTTATTGAGATCGCATATAACAGGGGTTTATATAGGATTATACAAACATATGTTGAGATAAATGAACTAAAATCCAAATAAATCCCAGTATTGTAAATGGATCATTTTTGCTGGACCAAAAAAACATGTTGAATGACCTGGGGCAGCACCGCTTGCTATCTGGGACACAGCCAAATTGCTGTAAAAACCCAACCAGTGCGAGAGAATTTTGCCAGATTTAACCACTACGTAGTCACTACATATAGAGTACATACAATCTATTGACCTATTAACCACAATTAACCACATGACCCACAATTCACCATTACTAACTATCATTAACCATTCTTAATCACCGGTGCTTCAAGGTCCCTCTCGGCCCAGGTACGGCGCAACGGAGGTCCGCCTCACAGGCAGGAAGCTTGGCTTCCTGCAGGAAGCGATACTGCCTGAGGTCGGACATGTGCTGAAGGGAGTGTTTTTGTTGGTGCAGATATGGAGGGTTCCCAAAATGATGATACCCAAATATGGATGGTTTATGATGGTTTATAACTTGGCGCTGATTTAAGCCCTTGCCACCTTTTACCATTTTGATTTTGGTGATGATACTTTTTAAATCTCAACAAACATCAAAAAACACAAAATATGAAGGTCAACATTTTCCACAAATAGCGGGTGATGATTTTCCTATTTGTGATTCTTAGAATAAATCAAGAAACAAACATGTGAAGATCAAAATTTACCACATGTCATATGACATTTAAAAAGATTGGTGGGGGATTTGTTCACAATTTTCCATGGGATGCTGCAAAAGTGTCCACTATGACTCAAAAGGGTGCTGTTCAAACAACATTTTGTTTTTGATGTTGGTTTTTGGTGAGTGTTTTTTATCCTTAGAAAAAGATCAAGAAACAAAACTGTGAAAACCATAGTTTTCCACATGTCACAAGTCATTTAAAACAATTGCTGAGGGGATCTGTTCACATTTCTTATTTGAAGAAATGGGTGGGGATCAGTTCATTTTTCCATGGGATGCTGTAAAAGTGCCCACTATGATTCAAAAGGGTGCTGTTCAAACAACATGTTGTTTTTGATGTGGGTTTCTGGTGATGGGTTTTCTGTGTGGTTCTTAGAAAAAATCAAGAAACAAAACTGTGAAGATCAAAATTTACCACATGTCGCAAGTCATTTTAAAAGATAGGTGGGGCATTTGTTCGCATTTTTCCCTGGGATGCCGTAAAAGTGTCCGCTATGACTCAAAAGCGTGCTGTTCAAACAACATGTTGTTTTTGATGTTTCTCCTCCATTATTCAAAAGTCATCTCATACAATGTGCGAAGCAAATTTTCTCATGTAAGTTCCAGGTCCGTGCAAAAAAAATATCTATCATAGTTCATATTGCAGCGCCCTTTTTTTAATTCCCCCGGATGCTGTAGAAGTATCCATTTTATTTGTCTGACGCTGGTGTAAATATTTGGGCATTATGGAGTTTTAAAGTCATTTGTGGTTGCCTCTGTTCAACGTGCCACCACAGAAAACATTGATCTTTTGTGATGCTGCAGCCCATATCGGACAGACTCAGAAGTTGAAGGAAGGGGGGGGCAGGGCGACCAAACAAATACACTAAGGCAAAAACAATCAATCAGATTCAATTTAATGGGTATTTCTATGTTTGGTTTCGTTGTTTCCTGCTGGCCTGCAGCCTTCAAGCCATGTGTGCTTTGGACCACATCTCAATTGCAACTTGTGCTGGCAATGAGAACTTAGCGCTGCATCTTCCGGTTGCTGCTGTAAAAGTGGCTTCCAAATTGAAAACAGTTTCCACAGTTTGCTGTGAACATGTGGCCAAACAATTTTATATATAGGTCTAAAGATAATGAGGGGGAAACTGAGACATCGGTATTGGTGTTGCTACATACTTGCCAAAGGTATTCGATAATGGTGGCACGTTGTTTTAATTTTCCTGTGCAGTGCTCACTCTTGAACTCTCAGGGCATCTTCACCGTCGGGCGCTCGTCTCAAAAACTAGGTGGACTAAGCTCAGAGGGCTCTTAGTGCTGTAAAAGTGCTAATCCCTGGATGCTGTAAAAGTGTCCAAGCGGGCTCTTAGCGCTGTAAAAGTGCTAATCCCCGGATGCTGTAAAAGTGTCCAAACAGCGCTGTAAGAGTGCTGCAAGGGTTGGACTTGAAGGGCGCTGTAAAAGTGCCTGGACCTACAACCTGCACTGCGAGAAGACCAAGAGACCGGAAGCTTCAAGATCTTTCACATCAAGTTCAGAGGCGGGGTCAGCGGCAATATCCAGCTATAAAACATATATAATAAGCAAAAGACAACCCCACCACCATCCACTACCCATCCCATCCCGCCGACGACATCCCATATCACCAACCCACCCCATCACCAACCCACCCCATCACCAACCCACCTTTTTCCTATCATCCCCATCCCATCATCCATGCTTATGAGATAAAGAGTATAGTATATACAGGCACAATGGCTGCAACCTCAGTGTCGTTCTTGCCAAGCATTGAACTGCTGCTGTAAGAGTGGCTGGCACATGGAAATTGAACATGACTTTCAATATCTTTAAATGGTATTATGCTCTCAAGCATTGAATTGCCAAATTGCCGCTGTAAGAGTGGCTGGAAAGCAAGGCGCATCACGGCTTATATAGACATGACATTCTATTTCTTTAGATTCATACAACAGAAAAAATATAGTATATGTATACAGGCCCATCATGGCTGCAACCTCAGCCTCGATGTTGGCAAGCGTTGAAATAGGGCTGTAAGACTGGCTGGCACATGGCAATTGAACATGACTTTCAATATCTTCTAAGACCTCTAAATTTAGTTATAATCGCTTCAGGCACTTAATGAATTTATAAGTATCTGATAAGTTGCCAGTATCGTGCTAATATCCTTTTCAAGTGCATTCGTAAAATTAAGTTATTTTAAGTTCCACTTATTTTTTAAGTGAGCTTAAACCATAATAATGAACTTATAATCAAATAAAGTAGAAGACTAAGTGAAAATAAGCGAATATAAGTGACACTGAGTGAAAATAAGTGAAAATAAGTGAAATGCATGTATTTTTGATTTTCGATTGAACAACAGAATTGGATTGCAACAACCACCAAATGATCTGAGGTGAAGATGGTTGCTGCCCAGGAATAGCTGGAGAAATAGATACCTGAAAATTATGGTTGATGTAACGGAAAGTTCCAGTAAAAGGAGATTCCATACTTTTCAGGAACTCTCCTTTGCTGGAACTTTCCTTGACAGGAACCATCCTTTTCAGGAACTCTCCTTTGCTGGAACTTTCCTTGACAGGAACCATCCTTTTCAGAAAAACTCTCCTTTACTGGAACCTTCCTTTACAGGAATCATGGCTTTCAGGCACTCTCCTTTGCTCGGAACTTTCCTTTACAGGAACCATAGTTTTCAGGAACCCTCCTTTGCTGGAATTTTCCTCTACAGGAACCATCCTTTTCAGGAACTCTCCTTTACTGGAACTTTCCTGTACAGGAGCCATCCTTTTCAGGAATCCTGCAAAGGAAAGTTCCAGTTAAGGAAAGGTCCCAAAACGGACCCTACTTTAAGCCTTTAAGCCAATTTATCTTGAAAAAAGGAAAATTTTCTGAAAATTCAGGTTCTTGAAAAGAACAACTGAAACCTGAGAAAATCCAGACAAGTCAAAATGCAGAAAAGTCAGAACATATTTAAATACAAAAAAAAATCTGAATCCCAAAAAATCATAAACACACAAAAAAATAGAATCCAGAAAACTTAGAAAATTCAGAATCCAGAAAATCAGGAAATAAAAAACAGAAACTTTATAGAAACAAAAAAAGAATCTATAAAATTCAGAAAATCAAAAAAACATAGAATCTAGAAAACCAAAAAAATGGAATCCCGAAAATCTAGAAAATTCAGAATCCAGAAAATTCAGAAATCTTAAAAAGAATAGATTCTAGAAAATTTAGAAACAAAAAAAACTGGAATCTAGAATTTTTTGAAAATTCAGAATCCAGAAAATTCAGAAATCTTAAAAAAAAATAGATTCCAGAAAAATTAAAAACCAAAAAAACTGGAACCTAGAAAATCTAGAAAATTAAAAATCCAGAAAATTCAGAAAATCTAAAAAAAATAGATTCAAGAAAATTTAGAAAACAAAAAAAAACTGGAATCTAGAAAATTTAGAAAATTCAGAATCCAGAAAATTCAGAAAATAAAAAAAAAATCCAGAAAATTTAGACACCAAAAAAAAAACGGAATCTAGAAAATCTAGAAAATTCAGAATCCAGAAAATTCATAAAATCTTTTAAAAAATAGATTCCAAAAAAAATAGAAACCAAAAAAAACTGGAATTTTGAAAATCTAGAAAATTCAAAATCCAGAAAATTCAGAAAATCTTTTAAAAATAGATTCTAGAAAATTTAGAAACCAAAAAAAACCGGAACCTAGAAAATTCAAAATCCAGAAAATTCAGAAAATCTAAAAAAAATCTTGAAAACTTAGAAACCAAAAAAAATGGAATCTGGAAAATCTAGAAAATTCAATCCAGAAAAATCAAAAAATCTTAAAAAAATCGATTCCAAAAAAAAATAGAAACCAAAAAAAACTGGAATTTTGAAAATCTAGAAAATTCAAAATCCAGAAAATTCAGAAAATCTAAAAAAAAAATCATGAAAACTTAGAAACCAAAAAAAATGGAATCTGGAAAGTCTAGAAAATTCAGAATCCAGAAAATTCAGAAAATCTTTCAAAAATAGATTCCAGAAAATTTAGAAAACCAAAAAAAACTGGAATCCAGAAAATCTAGAAAATTCAGAATCCAGAAAATTCGGAATTTTTTTTTTTTTTAAAAAAATGGATTCCAGAAAATTTAGAAACCAAAAAAAACTGGAATCTAGAATTTTTTGAAAATTCAGAATCCAGAAAATTCAGAAAATCAAAATAAATAGAATCCAGAAAATTTAGAAACCAAAAAAACTGGAATCTAGAAAATTCAGAAAATCAAAGAAAATTGGGCTCCAGACAATTTAGAAAATCCAAAAGAAAAAAGGATCCAGATTTTTTTTGAAAATCCTAAAAAATAGAATTCAAAAAATCTAGCCAAAACAAGTCAGAATCCAGGAAAATTTTGAAAACCAAGAAAGAAATAAGATCTAGAAAAATAGAAAAATCAGAATCCAGAAAATTCATTAAATAAAGAAACAGAAAAAACATAAAATCAAAAAAAAGGAACCAGAAACATTTGATAACTTACAGCTCCAAATAATTTACAAACTCTCAAAAAATTGAGATAATTTAGAATTATCAATTAATTTAGAATTAAAAAAAGGAAAGCGCATTCCCCTGAGGACGCTACATTCAACCTGAAAGAGTCATTGCAGGAACGTCCCATTTCAGGAACTACATCCTTTTCAGGAGTTATCGTTTCAGCATCTTAAGTTTCTAAATGTTTTTTGTTTTTACAAACACACACACATATATATATATATATACATATACATATATTGTTTTCCAACATATTTTATTTCACAATCATTACAAGCAGCTATGAGAGAATCTATAGTATGACTCGCAGCCATACTTTAGCAGCTAGCCTGTGCTGAACCGCTGCTTCTTTCTCTGCCATGGCTTCCAAGGCAAAGGATATAGCTCCTGAAAAGGATGGTTCCTGAATAGGAAAATATCCTGAAAAGGGTACTAGATGTTTAAAAAATGCAAATTTACCCAATTGTTTTTTACTTATTTCTTCTAATCAATTGTGTTTTTCCAAATGTATGACGGAAAAAAATCATCCATGATCAATTCTGAAACTTCGAAAAGCTATAAAAATAACTAAAATAAGTGAAAATAATGTGAAAAATAATTGAACACAAGTAAAATACACTTCTATCATAAGTTCAAATAACTAGTAATATTTTCATTAAGTGCCTAAAGTGAAAATAATTAAATTTAGAGGTCTTAGTTTCAATTGTATGATTGTGCTCTGAGGAGTGCTCCGCGATGTTTTTCCTGACAGTGGGCGTGTACCTGGGCAGCACTGACATCAGAAATTTGAATGCAACTTACATGTCTACTTGCGATTGTTAATGGACACTCTTACAGCGTCTCCACAAGACAGTCTTGCCCCAAAGCCCTAATTTGTAGACACTTTTACAGCGTCTACAGGAAAGATGCAGTGCTGCAACATCTTTTTTGCCCAGCGGAGTATACTGTGTGTCTGCGCGATGTGTTGTGAAACATGGCGCAGCCAGCTGCCCGTGATCGTGATTGATCTGTGCTGTAAGAGTGCGCTGCTGTTTCATTCCAACAGTGTGGGGTTATAGTCTAGTTATAAATATATATATATATATAAATATGATCCAGATTTGATTATTATGCTGAGTAGTAAGCATCTTGTGGCAGTGCGCTCTAAGAGCGCGCTGCTGCTTCATTCCAAGACTGTGGTGTTGTAGTTATGTGATCCAGCTTTCATTACTATGAAGTAGCAAGCATCTTGTTGCGCTACGCAGCATGCTGGAGTGCAAAGCTACACTGTCTCATGTACCAGCACTCTCACAGCGCTGGGTTCAGGCACTCTTACAGCGCCACAATGACACATGGCAACTATGGCTGTGGAGTTGTTAATGGGATTTATAAATGAATATATAAATATATTCCTCATTCAGCTTGGTTGTTTTGCTTCCTTTTTCAGTTTGGTGCATTTGCGGTACGGCTTTTGCACTTGGTACGCTGTGGTACTCTGCGGTACGGCTTTGGCACTTGGTACGCTGTGGTACTCTGCGGTACGGCTTTTGCACTTGGTACGCTGCAGTACTCTGCGGTACGGCTTTTGCACTTGGTACGCTGCGGTACTCTGCGGTACGGCTTTTGCACTCGGTACGCTGTGGTACTCTGCGGTACGGCTTTTGCACTTGGTACGCTGTGGTACTCTGCGGTACGGCTTTTGTACTTGGTACGTTGTGGTACTCTGCGGTACGGCTTTTGCACTTGGTACGCTGTGGTACTCTGCATACGGCTTTTGCACTTGGTACGCTGTGGTACTCTGCGGTACGGTTTTTCCACTTGGTGCGGTACTCTGCGGTACGGTTTTTGCACTTGGTGTGGTACCCTGCGGTACGGCTTTTGCATTTGGTACGCTGTGGTACTCTGCGGTACGGCTTTTGCACTTGGTACGCCTTGCATCCACTTAAGCGTATTACGGTATTACAAAAAAAATTTGGGCTTTGGAGATATTTTCTCGTTTTGTTTTTTTTATTAAGTTATTTTCAGAACTCGTTCTTTTGTACCTTCAGACTTTGTTACAAATACCTTCATGGCTTTTAAAACCATGCCACATGCGTTCTTGTAGAATTCTCATCTCAATTTTCCTTAGTTGTGGTATATAACACATTTTTCTTCTGACACACTTCTTGTGGGACAGCTTTTCTGTTCTCTGCCTGGCGACGTCCATAGAAGGACATTTCTCGTATAGACGCCCTGCTAGATATTTTAACAAGTGTCATGGATATTTTCTTTTCTCGTTTTCTTTTGGCTCAATGGTTAGATGCGCCGCTCCATTGTGGCTGTTTCGGCCGCAGTACTGGCTGGCTCGGCCATTTTAGTGGCTGCTTCGGCCACAGCGGCAATGTCAAGCTTGGAAACCGGGGCCAAATTCAGATGGCGTAGTTCGGGCAAAAAATGGTGTAACACGTTCCTCATCTCAGATGGCCAGCCAGAGCTAGGGTCATGGTTAGATGTGAAGCAGCAACCTTGGGGTGTTGGTTGTAAAGTGTGCAAGGAAACTGGGGTTTCCAACCCTTTCGCTTCTTATTCAATGACCAAGAAGGGCCAACTGCAGAACTGCAATTTGATAAAGCACCATAAAAGCAAGGCGCACAAGGCAGCGGTGAAGGAATGGTTGAAGGAAGGAGGCTGTGTTGGTCCCAGTCCCGATGCAGCCCCGTCATTGAGTCAGTTTCAAGAGCTGATGGAGTGCTTTGGCGACAAAAGATCATTGTCGCAAAAAGAGCTGCAAATGGCATGGTGTTTGGCAGAGGGGTTAAAAGCTTTGGACCAAAAGTTCATTGCGAAATCTTCTCGCATTTCTTTGATGCGGGATGAGCGGCATGGGCGGTTGGCCATACGATTCATGGCTGTGGCCCCAGACTTGACAACTCGAAGTGGCTTTTTAGGCCAAGAAAGGCAAGCTGGAACAGGAGCTGACAATGTCTCCTTAGCCACATGGGCAGTCATGAAGCGTGCTTGCTCTAGATTTTATATGGCCCCTCTTAGTCAGAATCCTGGGCGTTTGAAGAAAAATCTTTTTAAACACCTGCGGTCAAGAGTTGTGGCACTCGCTGCTGATGCAGCAGCAGATGAAATGGCAAGCTGTGAAATATTAAGGTCAGCACGCTTGAGTTTGAATACAGAAGACAATCAGCCAATGCTGCCAAATTTGCAACATGTTTTCAGGGACCGGGCGCACGCCAGCAGAAGGTTGACAAGCAGACCATGGAATGCGGACGAAAAGCTGAAAGAAGTGATGCAATACATGGGCCGAGGGCCAAGGTCAATGGCTAGGCTCATCAATGACTCCATGGAAATCAAGCGCATATTTGGTGAACACTGTCGCGCTTGCGACTCCACGATTGAGACTGCCATTTCATGCTTTCGGTCTGCGGGCCACAGGTTCGAATCCCACGCACGTCCCCTTGGCAGAACCTGCTTGTTTTTCCATGCTTGTGTGAAAACTGCCCTTCATTTAACCAAAGCACGAACAGATGTCTCTGCCAAAAAGGCGAAGGATTGGCTTCTTTGGATTTCAGAAGAACATCTGCTGCAGGCAGCTATGTTGGCTGATGCGGCCGACACAAGTCTTGCTTTAACTCGATCCTTGGATACGGAGCATGTTGATCCTGCAAAGCTGAAAGGTGACTTGCAAGTCTACATGCGACAAATTCGCAGTCTTTTTGTTGAAGGTCGTTGTGCGACTGTGTTCGGCTTCACCTCGACTGTTCTTACCCAATTGAAGTCGCCCATTGTTTTTAACATTGGGAACAGAATGAAAACTTTGGGTTCTAGCACCGGAGTGAACAGAGCAATTGTCGACACATGTCTCGGACGAATGCAAGCTTGGGTGAAACTGGCTGTTGCGGCCATAGAAGCAGAATTTCCTCATTTTGAAATTTGCCAAGCGTTTGAAATATTCAATTTGAAGGGGCTTCCGCAAGAAGGGGTGAACGCACATCTTAGAGCGATTTCCCACACATACAAATTGGATTTGCCCAGGCTCCGTGCACAGTGGGAAGACCTGTATCCCCGTGCCCAACTGGAATACAAAGAACAGGTTGGCTCACTGAAAGAAAGCAAAGATATGGTCCACGATGGCAACAAAGAAGCCTGGAGAGCTACTTTGGCCAGATACTCTTCAGCCAGACCATGCAGTCATCCCAGCGACGTTTTGCTTGTCGCATTGCAAAATTATTTTTGCTGCACGCCCAGTACTTCAGCAATTGAGCAAAATTTTAGTTTGGGCCAAATCCGGTACACAATGCAGCGGCGTCGGTCCTTACCCAACAATGAGGAATTGGTCCTGAAACTTATATATGGTTTGCCCAAGCAAAACAAAGACGAAAAAGTTGAAATTTGCAAGCTAGCCCGTGTTGCGTGGGCAAACCAGTATGGCCGTCCACGGGAACATTCCAAAACTGGTCGTCGGGCTGACAAAGGAATCAAAAGAAAACAGGTTGACGCAGGTTTGACTGAGAGCAGCTTCCTTCGGAGACGTCGCTGCGCGGCTGCTGCGGCCGCAGAGTCATATTCAGGAACCCAGGAGCAAGCCGACCCCCTATTCTTCACTGAAGGTCATCAGAAGGAAATGGTTTTTTTGGAAAAGAAAAGCCGCATTAGGCGAATTCAGGCCACTGCGGAGAAGTCCTTACCAGACGCGACTTTGCAAGATCAACAAGACGCAGAGGCTGCTTCGGCCAGATTTGCAGAGAATCAAAAGAAAAGACGCGAGAAGGCAAGTAGGATTGAAAGGCATGTTAGCAACAAACACAGGGATGCCTTGCTCGCCGATTTATCTGGCTCTAAAGCTTTCCTGGCTGTTTCGGCCAATATGGAATTGACTGCAAGTTTAGCCAACAATGGAATCCAAGTGACAGCGCAAGCCTCCCAAGCACATGTCATTGTTTGCGACAAGCCAGGTGAAAGCTTACTGCCAGCATCCCTACAACTGATGATAGGTTTGCGAGGCTTGGTGGAAGTTTCCCCATCTTTTTTTACTGTTGGAAACGGTTCTGCTTTGAAATTTCATCGCGCTGTTTCGGTGCGTAAAGTTGTTCTTGTAAGCAAAATATGTGCAGAAAAGCATGATGCCTTTTGGAAAGATTTTCGGCAAGCGCTTCCTGGTGGGCATGGTTGGCAACTTCACAAAATGAATGCCGGCACAGTGGCACAGCTGCAGGCGAAGCAAAGGACCTTTCCGAAATACAAAGCATACGCAGTCATTCATGAGGATGAAACAGATGCGGTCAGTGAAGGGGACAAGCAAATTTTCACCATCCAGACTTTCTTGCATCGCATTCGTCGCGCAGACATGGTAGAGTCGTGCTCCGGGCTTATGAAATGACGACGCATGCTTGCGCAAAGAAAAAAGGGAGGATCACCTGTGTGTTGTTGGTCTTCAACTGGTTCTCTTTAAATCTAACTTGTAAACCCGAACCCCCCAGCAATGAAATAAACGATGGCATACAATTTATAATTGTTTCAATCTTTTGTGGGTTTTACTGTTCGTTTTCGCATTGATGTGTTGCAACATGTCTGCCAGGTTTTGTCGGCTCAAGTCATATACTTAGTGGCTGTTTCGGTCATCCTGGCTGTTTCGGCCAGCTGCCTTGACTGCTTCAGACCTCCTGCCTGCTTCGGTCCGCCTGGCTGCTTCGCCCAAATCAAGCTGTTTCGCATTCAGGGGTGGCTGCTTCGGCCTGCTGCTGCGGCCTGCCTGGCTGGCTGCTTCCAGCCATGCCTGTCCAGCTTCGCGTTCCCCGATTGGTTCGTGTGGGGAGTGATTTCTCTGGCTTGGACACAGGCATTTTCGCTTTGAAGCGGTTGCAGCTGCCGGTGGAAGTTTCATTTTGCAGCGACACAGACCCACACTGCAGAAAACTACTGGAAGCTGCTCACAAGCCAAAATGTTTTTTCGACGATGCCGAACAACGAAAGCCAGAGGATGAGATCCCTGTGGACGTATACATTAGTACCCCGCCATGCCAGCCATGGAGTTCACAGGGAAAAAGGAAAGGTCTCCAAGATCCCCGGGGGAGGTTGCTGAAAGTGCCTTTGAGGTATACAAAGCGGCACAAACCAAGGGTCTTTCTGATGGAGAATGTGAAGGGTCTCTGCCACCGGAAAAACAAACCGGTACTCCGCGGCATCCGAGCCACGTTAGAGAAGCTGGACTACAGGGTCTGGCTTGGAGTCTTAAACGCTGTGGATTTCCAAATCCCGCAAAAGAGACAAAGGCTCTTCATTGTCGCGATCCGCAAAGACTCCTGCAGGAGACCTTTCAAGTGGCCCAAAAAACTCGGTAAGCGAAGGCTGTCAGAGGCCTTGGACCCGATGCAGGCTGCAGATCGGCCTGGTCGGTTGCCGAAAAATCAAAGAGCCAAGGCTTTGGCTTTGGCTGCCTGCCGAAAAGTTAACAAGGAGGGCATTGACCCACGACAGGTTCCTGTTGCCATAGACGTCGGCTGCAGCCAAAAATATGCCACCTTTGGCATTGATGTCAGCCGCACCTTGAGCCAAGCTCGCGCCAAGACAGGCGGCTTCTGGATCAGTAGTCGTGGAAGGTATATGACTACAAATGAGATGTTGAAGGTGTCTGGGTTCCAGTCTTCTGAGATGCCAGATTGGAACCAACATGTAAGCAAGACTCAGTTGCAAGGAATGCTCGGCAATTGCGTGCCGATTCCTTTGGTTGGCTGTGTGCTCCAAAATGCCTTGTACGCAGCTGGCTTGATTTCCAAGCTGGCACCTTTTCCAGTCTGACCTTGGCTGCTGCGGCCAATCTGAAGCTTTTGTCGCGGCTTGTGTGGCCGATTTGTAATTAACCTACAATCAGACAGCCTTGACGCGGGATTTGTCAAGTCAAAAGATCGCAGCTAGCTGTTTCTATGTGTTTCGTAGTCACTCTCTCGCTTCAAGACTGCTGGCATGTGCCATTCAAGTTCCAACCTGTCTCAACTTGTCATTTGACAATGGTCTCAAGTTTTGGCTCAAACCGTGTTGTCGTCGCCTCTCTTCCTTTTTCCGTGATGCCTCTGCTGCGCTCAGAAGCGGAGACTGACGAGGCAAACTTCTGTCAGTATGTCTATGTGACACAGCTTTTTGTCAAAGAGAAGCCAGCAGATTTCTTCGGTCTCGCAGAGATGGAAGACGTGTACGAATGCACTCGCAATGCCATTTTTTGGTGCTACTGCCACCTGGCCCCAGACATCAGATCTGAATTTGAATGGCAGATTGTGATTGCACTGGACATGCTGACGACTTTGCGTTACACAGATCCCGACAGCTTCCCAGACAGCCGAATTGTCGCTGGTTTGCCAGATGCGGTGGAAGAAACCAAGTTGCCCCTGACCCATGCAACCAAGCGCGACTTCTATGTGGCCACGCTCTTCATCAGCTATCTCGACGCTTGCCCGCTGAATTATTGTGGCTTCAGATGGTCTACGTTTCGTGAGAACCTGTGGGAGTCCTTCAACAAGGCAGTCCAGAGATCAGAAGTAAACAATGAATTGAAGATTGGACACTTCTCAGGAGCCACCTGGGTATTTCAACTCACCCAAGCTGATGCGGCCGAGGCTTAGTTAAGGGCGTCGTCAGGCTGCTTCGGCCTGCTCGTCGCCTGCTTCGGGCTGCTTGTCGCCAGGCTGCTTCGGCCTGCCTTAAACTATTTTTTGTAGTGGCTGCTTCTGCCACAGAAGCTTGGCTGCTTCGGCCAGCAAGGCTTTCGACAAGACAGACGGTCTCTTGGAAAATAGTGGCTGCTGACCGTGGCCTTCTTGGGACCAGGTTATGAAACCCCAAAGAGTATTAAATCCTAAAGGGGTAATATTATAATTATTGTATGTAACATGATTTAAATTTAATACTAGCTATTCAAATGGGTATATTTTTTTTGGTCATATAAGGGATTTTGACATAATAAGGAATTTAAATAACTCTTAAGGAGACTCGGGCCCTCATTCGGGGACATCCCCTAACCTCCTAAGACTCTAATTCGGGGACGTCCCCTAACCTCCTAAGGGGTAATTCGGGGACATCCCCTAACCTCCTAAGACTCTAATTCGGGGACGTCCCCGAACCTCCTAAGGGGTAATTCGGGGACATCCCCTAACCTCCTAAGACTCTAATTCGGGGACGTCCCCTAACCTCCTAAGGGTTAATTATCAAAAACCCTATCCTAAGGAGAGGGCGATTTGCCCTCTCCAACCGCAGGTCGGGGACGTCCCCTAGCTGTGTAAGGAGAGGACGAATAGAGGACGAATGTGTAATACTACTAAGTGTTTCGGTTTTAAAAGCTGTTGTCCTCTGTTTGTCCTCTCCAACCGAGCATCGGGGACGTCCCCTAGCTGTGTAAGGAGAGGACGAAATGACCTCTCCTTACACAGCATGTTTTACCAAAATCCTGCTGTGTAAGGAGAGGTCGTCGTCTTCACAGGTCGTCATGTTGAGCTTGGCTGTTTCGGCCACCCTGGCTGCTTCGGCCACTTCGCCTTCGTCGTCAGTGAGGTGTGTAAGAGAAGGCTGTGAGAGGACTAATAAGACATAAATATAAATTCCACATTAGTCCTCTCACAGCCCTGTCTCCTTACACACGTCGCTGCTGTCAGCGCGGGTTCTAAGGGCCCTCTCCTTAGAAGCCGTCATGTCGTCTCTCGTCGTTTGTTTTCGGCTCAGAGGCTTAGCGTGTAAGTTTGAAAGGTAATAAGCTGTTTCGGCTTAAACCTTGCCTGCACTCACAGGCTGTTTCGGCCTGGAGTGCTGACATGCCAAGCCCCATGGACTCAGGGTGGGCGCCCATGTTGTGTATCGACTGTGGTGGCGTCTTAACCCGTTATGGAGATGTCAAGTACGACGGCGAGGAAATCTACAAGGCGACGATGCCAGGAGCATGGGCTTTCCTGCTTTTGTGGCAGGCTTGCTATGGCGAAGATGCTGTGAGAATCATTTCGAAGGTGAAATGGTTCCCACACAAAGAGAAGCATTGGGTGGTGAGACACGCGATGTCTCTTGGGTTGTCCTCGGACCAGGTCTTCTTGACGGATCAGAACAGCAACAAAGGATACTACGCGCGCCGCTCCAATGGCACCGTGGTCGTCGACGACAGGCTGGATTGCTTGCAGAGCATGATGAACGGAAGCTCAAAAAGCCTGCAGACAGCTGTCCTGTTCGGGGGCGCCGATCCACGAAACGAGAAAAAGGTGCACTGCATCAGCGACTTCAGAGACCTTGCCGTCTTGCTGGAGGTCTACCCGAATGGTACGGTTTGGGACTGGCTCATGGACGAAGGCCCTCCAAACAAACCTCATGACGAAGCAGTGCGAGACGACCTCCTGCAACGCTTGAAGGCCATGGACGACGCCCGAGCCTGGCTACCAACTTCAACGGCAAACAAAAGAAAGGTTGAGGCTGCATCGGCCTTGTCGTCGAGCAACTGGGTCCCAAAAGGTTCTGCAGCGCCCGCCGGCGACAATGACGACGATGACGAGCGTCCGCCGCCTCCAGACAACGTCGTCTTTTTGTACCGCAAGTCTGCTGCAAAAAAACCAGTCAAGAAGGAATCGCCGCCGCCGTCGACGAGACCGCCAAAGCAATCCACAATCAAAGAAGAGCCGGACTACGGCGGCGACCAGGCCGACGACGACAACGACGACAATGACAATGAACAGGAAAGCAGTTCAGAGGAGGACCAGGAGGAGGACACAGAAAGCGAGGCCAAAAAACTTCGACGAAGTTCCTCCAAAAAATCCGGCAGCAGGCGGCGAAGCACTTCCACTGATGCCAAGATCAAAGACTTGCAAAATCAGGTGAAGCAGCTGCAGTGGCAGCAACAGGCTGGGTGGTACTACCCGTACTACCAGGCCGCGGCGGCTGCTTCGGCCGCGCAAGGCAGCCAGCCGGCGGCACCGGCTGCATCGGCCGGGCCGCCGCCTTGGGGGGGCCGACGTCCGGATTCGAGCTGGACGCAGGCAAAGATGAAGCGTGCCGAGCAGCACCGTGCTACCGGAGGGCAGACGGCAGAATCAGCCGGGCGCATATTGCCCTGCCAGGTGCTGCAGGAGGTGCTGCACGCAGTCGAGTTGCCCACAGCACCATGGCTGAATCGGCCATGTGCTGACTGGCCTTCACTGGCTGCTTCGGCCAGGGCGAATCTTCACTGGCTGTTTCGGCCAGACGGTAGCACCACTGGCTGTTTCGGCCAGACGGCAGCATGGCTAAGACGGCCGTGCGACACTGGCTGCTTCGGCCAGGTCAATGACGACGGAACGCGACAGTGGAAAGGGGAAAAAAGCAAGCAGGGACATCAGGTGTCTTGGTCCAATCCGGGGAGTTAAATTATTAAAAATAAATATAATGATATGAAATGGGGAAGTAGACGACTAAAGACGTAGGAAGTTTTAAACGCTAATTTAAAGTCTCAAGTTTAAAACTTAAAACAGCAAGTAAAAGGGACCGTCTAAGAGTATTGAATCAAGTCAAACAGTTTGGGTATTGACAGACAATTAAAATCCGCAGCTGTTTCGTAGCTCATTCCCTGTAAATTTAAGTCTGGGGCGGGGTGCCTGGCTGATTCGGCCAGTGCCTATTGGCTGCTCAAGTTTGTCAGAAACATGCCGCCAAAAAAGAAACAAAAGACGACAAAGGCTTTGCCTGCACCTTGCGAAGACGAAGATCAAAGCGAGCCAGACCTTGGTCCCTCCAAGGCTCATTGGATTAAGGTGCATGATGCTTTGGCCCGAATTTTCTCACACGAATTATTCAAAGACATATTGACAGCAGACCCTTTGTCTGTCAAAGATGGCGGCAGAGAGGCAGCACTCGACGCTACTCAGGCTGCTTCGGCCTTGAAAAACGCTGGCGTCTATAAGTGTGCCGCCAATTTTTTCCATCAAGACTTCCTTTTCATGGCCACGCACAAAGTGCCTATGAACGAAGCGCAGGTGCAGCAAATCAAAGACTATTGGTTTCCCAAAAATGAACCGCCGTCATTGTGCCCCTTTGTCATCACAGTCGCTTTGGAAACCCCTGGCTGCATCGGCCAACGTCCACAAAACGGTTTCCAACGTCTCAGTCCTCCAGAGCCGGTACACGCCTTGCTGTTTGCACTGGCTGAAGCCATTGAAAGCAAAGCAAAAGTTGGAGTATTGCGCGCTTTCAGAAGTTGCATCCTCACTGCGACCTTTGTGTTCGAAATCTGTCCTGTTGGTGAAGACCGCTACTGGCGTGCACAAAACATTCGTGAAGAGATGGTTGAAAAGGGTTTGTCGGTTCAGTTGTCATTGCGCCAGCGTATATTTGATATTGCAGGCTTCTACGAAGCCAAAAAAAAACTGAGTCAAGCCTGGGTGCCAAAAAGCTGGCAGCTCTGTACACACAGCATCTCAAACTTGCGTCGAATCAAGAGAAAATTTCGGAAAGCTTTGTCGATTGTGCTTTGTCCATCCATCGCCGACTTCTCAGCATCCCCAGGTGTCAAGCAGTTTTGGAATGGTGTGACCAAAACTGGCTCACTTCGTCTGCTTGGAAATCAATTTACGCCTTGCAAGCATTGCTTGACAGAGGAGGCACGCCTGAGATGATTGCCTGGTCCCTGGAAGGGATGGTGGATGGCGTCCGCATGTCTTTTCTAGATGGTGGACACTTTGTTATTAGCAAGCTGAAAGATTCAAGGGCCAGCTACATTGAAGTCCTCAAAATGAAGCGCAAAACTTTGTTGCATTTACTGAACACATGGCTGAATGACTTGAAGCTGGAGAAAAAATGGAAAGACAACATCAAGAGCTACTGCGGCTCCTATGAGATGTTGCGAAAGCATATTTCGCCATACCCTGATACGCAGGCTAATACGGCCTGGTTGCTGGGTTGCCCGCCAAGTGTTTCTGAAATTTGCGAGTTCCTGGATCAACTTGTCTTTGGATCCCACTATGACGCAAGATACAAGGATGCAATCAAGAGCAAACACGAGGTGGAAGATTTCTTGAATTACACAACTCTAAAGACCACCATGGAAACCATTGAAAAAATGACTCGCCAAGAGGACAAGCCCGAGGGACTCAATGGCGATGAAGAGCAGAAAGCAAGAACGGAAGAGGAAAGACAGGAAACAGAACTGGAGGCTGCTTCGGCCTCTGAGGCTGCTGCGGCCTCTGAAGCTGCTCCGGCTTCTGAAGAAGTGGAAGACAATGGTCTTAGTGAGGCAGACAAGGTCATGTGGAGACAGCACATGCGCAAGATCCTCAACCAGCATGTGCGATTTGTCGCCGATCACCGCACCAATGTGGAATTGGAAAGTGCCTTGAAAGAAACACCTTTCATGTCCTTGCGCGGAGATCAAACAGGAATGGCCCTCTTCCACTTTGATTTGAAAAAATATGGCGAGCCCACCACACGGCCAGACTTGAGAACCCCAACCTTTCGTGAAAACCTCTACACCCGGCTTGTCAAGAGCGTTCTTGCTGCGCGGCAAGACGCAATGGGCACTCCCAACCCCAACCTTCAGGCAGGGGAAGTTGCATTGATTTTCGATGCAGGAAAAAAAGGACTTATGAAAAAGTTGCTCAGCCCATGGAAAGAAGGAACAGCCAAAACCAAAGAGGAGGACGAAGAAGCGGAGGATGATGGAGAAGAAGATGCAGAAGAGGAAGATGACAAGCCGACCTTTTGCGTAGACACCCTGATGATTGGATATTCAGAGTCGTCGCTATCCGCACGAAAGAAGCGGCTCCGTGGAACTTGCACTCTGAAGCAGATGGAGTCATGTCACATTTTGTCATCCAAAAGGTTGTCCCTGCCAAGCCGTGACAGAAAGCACTACGCAGGTTCAACCACTGGCGACTTGATTTCCAACGTGCACATGCCTGCTTGGTCTTCTGAGTGGCAGCTGCCTTGGAAAGAAAAACAGGAGCTTTTGGGGAAAAAACACATGATAGCTGTCGGAGGTAAGACACAAAACAAGGAGGAAGAGAAGCAGAACAGCAGATCCAGCAATGGCTTGGAGCCAGTTTGCTTTCACAGTCCACCCTATGAGCTCTGCGACGAGTTGATCCACGACTTTTTCGCGAAGATCATTATCGATCTGACACCTCTGGACGGCCGCATGGCTTGGGCTGCCTTGCGAAATCGGGTAGGGTATGTCGGAGTTGCCTTCAACCCGGAGCACCAACGCCTTCTTGAAGACCGGCTGCTTGCTTTGCTTGAAAAGGAAATGACAAACCCTGAGTCCAGCTTGTTTTCGTCAGCTTACAGTGAAGCCGTCGGCGGTGGCAGTGGTAAGGCACCTGTGAATCAGACCGCAAAACCGAAGGCAAAGGTAAAGGCAAAGGCCAAAGGCAAGGGAAAGGCCAAACCAAAGGCTAAAGCAAAATCCAAAGCCAAGCAATCAAAGGATGAGCAGGAGGAAGGCGAAGAGGAAAAGGACGACAATGACGAGGAAGACGACGACGTCTGGGATCCTTTGGGAGACGACGACGATGACAATGAAGAGGACTAATGGAGACAAGTGATGGGGATAGACGAGACGACGTGGCTGCATCGGCCATATACCACGGCTGCATCGGCCGTGTGGCTGCCTCGGCCATAGGCGACCTCTATGTCGCACTTCGGACACATAGGCAGTTTTGATTGTGCCTTCCATGCGGGAAAAAAAAGCTGCTTTGAATTTCCCACAAACATGACATGGTTGAAAGGTAAAAAGTATGTATGTCGACTCTCTTAACTTAGGGGGATGTCATGTCCTGTTGTCAGTCGGTTTGTCTCATGTTTGCTGTACGTGTTCTGAAACATGCGGTTTCTCGCACATTTAGGCTCTAGGCTTAAACTACAAATGACCGTTTCCATGCCAATGACAATGATGCCGCCGCCCAAACTTCCACGACGACGTGGCAATCCCAGTGTAGTCACTAAGCCTGATGCCAAAGTCATCCAAAGGGATCTTCTCAAAAGGTTCCATGTAGAAAAGCTGTACCAGAAGTACAGGCTGCTTCAAACCAGCACATGGCCATCGGCAAGCAAGCTTGCTTCCACTATCCGGATCGAAATTGTGAGAAGAAAAGGGGTTAAGTGGATGAATGAAAAAGAAAAACAATGCGATGAGAAGTAGCATGTTGGCTGCATCGGCCAAGCTATGGCTGCTTCAGCACATGGCTGCTTCGGCCTATTCGAGTCTAATTCAAATGATTTCAAAATCTATGGGAACCAATCTTTAATTCACCTGTTTGTGGCTTGCACAAACCAAACTTGCTGTAGATATTTGGATTCCTCGTTTGTCCAAGAGGAAAAATGCGTGGACCGATGATTGAAGCTATTTTCTTGTCGTTGGAAGACATGACATTGTCACTGAAAGCACACACATGCATTAAAATTTGAGCGCACACAATCCGATATTTCACCCATGGAGACATTAGCAATCCTTTTGGTTACTGTTATATGCTTCCTTCTCCTTCATTCCTTTTACAAACACTTTTTTAAAAGAAGCTGCCTACTCCACTTTTTTATTTTTATTTCTCGTTTCAGTAACTGTTTCGTGTAAGTAACTTTCTCGTGTAAGGGCAAATTTTTTTTGTAATACCGTAATGCCGCTAAGTGGAAGTAAGACGCTGTGGTACTCTGCGGTACGGCTTTTGTACTTGGTACGTTGTGGTACTCTGCGGTACGGCTTTTGCACTTGGTACGCTGTGGTACTCTGCGGTACGGCTTTTGCACTTGGTACGCTGTGGTACTCTGCGGTACAGCTTTTGCACTTGGTGTGGTACTCTGCGGTACGGTTTTTGCACTTGGTACGCCTGGTACGCTGTGGTACTCTACGGTACGGCTTTTGCACTTGGTACGCTGTGGTACTCTGCGGTACGGCTTTTGCACTTGGTACGCTGTGGTACTCTGCGGTACGGCTTTTGCACTTGGTACGCTGTGGTACTCTGCGGTACGGCTTTTGCACTTGGTACGTTGCACCTGGTGTGGTACTCTGCGGTACGGCTTTTGCACTTGGTACGTTGTGGTACTCTGCGGTACGGCTTTTGCACCTGGTGTGGTACTCTGCGGTACGGCTTTTGCACTTGGTACGCTGCAGTACTCTGCGGTACAGCTTTTGCACTTGGTACGCTGTGGTACTCTGCGGTACGGCTTTTGCACTTGGTACGCTGTGGTACTCTGCGGTACGGCTTTTGCACCTGGTGTGGTACTTTGCGGTACGGCTTTTGCACTTGGTATGGTACTCTGCGGTATATGGCTTTTGCACTTGGTGTGGTACTCTGCCGTATGGCTTTTGCACCTGCTGTGGTACTGTGCGGTACGGCTTTTGCACTTGGTACGATGCGGTACTCTGCGGTACGGCTTTTGCACTTGGTACGCTGCGGTATGCCTTGCGTGCCTGCAAGAATGGCGCTCGAATAAGCTTTGGCCACAATCGCTTAGTGACACACTCCATCGTTGGAGTGTGTCACTAAGGGATTGTGGCCAAAGCTTATTCGAGCGCCATTCTTGCCCACCCCTCATCCTCAGCAGTGTCACTGAGGGGGGGGGTAGAGTACCCCCCCCCCCAGTGGCTGCTCCCATCGATGGGAAGCGTCACTAACCCCCAGGCACCTGCAGAACAACCCCTGGCAAGAGTCTATTGACGCATGCAGAATCATACTTGCACCTTGGTGACGCTAGGGGTTAGTGACGCTTCCCAGCGATGGGGTCAGCCACTGGGGGGGGGGTACTCCACCCCCCGGCTTAGTGACAGTTTCCTGTTTTGATCAAGATATTTGGCAAAAACTTATTAGAACGGTACGGTGCGATGCATGGGGCCACCCATGAGCAACTGCTAAAGACATACCGCGGAGTACCACACCAAGTGCAAAAAGCCGCACCGCAGAGTACCACAGCGTACCAAGTGCAAAAGCCGTACCGCAGAGTACCACACCAGGTGCAAAAGCCGTACCGCAGAGCACCACACCAAGTGCAAAAGCCGTACCACAGAGTACCGCAGGGTACCAAGTGCAAAAGCCGTACCGCAGAGTACCACACCAGGTGCAACGTACCAAGTGCAAAAGCCGTACCGCAGAGTACCACACCAAGTGCAAAAGCCGTACCGCAGCGTACCGCAGCGTACTAAGTGCAGAAGCCGTACCGCAGAGTACCACAGCGTACCAAGTGCAAAAGCCGTACCGCAGGGGTATACCAAGTGCAAAAGCCGTACCGCAGAGTACCACACCAAGTGCAAAAGCCGTACCGCAGAGTACCACAGCGTACCAAGTGCAAAAGCCGTACCGCAGAGTACCACAGCGTACCAAGTGCAAAAGCCGTACCGCAGAGTACCACAGCGTACCAAGTGCAAAAGCTGTACCGAAGAGTTCCGCTGCGTACCAAGTGCAAAAGCCGTACCGCAGAGTACCACAGCGTACCAAGTGCAAAAGCTGTACCGCAGGGTACCGCAGCGTACCAAGTGCAAAGCCGTACCGCAGCGTACCAAGTGCAAAAGCCGTACCGCAGAGTACCATACCAGGTGCAAAAGCGGTACCGCAGAGTACCACAGCGTACCAAGTGCAAAAGCCGTACCGCAGAGCACCACACCAAGTACAAAAGCCGTACCGCAGAGTACCACAGCGTACCAAATGCAAAAGCCGTACCGCAGAGTACCACACCAGGTGCAAAAGTACCGCAGAGTAGAGTACCACAGCGTACCAAATGCAAAAGCCGTACCGCAGAGTACCACAGCGTACCAAGTGCAAAAGCCGTACCGCAAATGCACCAAACTGAAAAAGGAAGCAAAACAACCAAGCTGAATGAGGAATATATTTATATATTAATATATAAATCCCATTAACAACATAAATCCCATTAACAACTCCACAGCCACAGTTGCCATGTGTCATTGTGGCGCTGTAAGAGTGCCTGAACCCAGCGTTGTGAGAGTGCTGGTACATGAGACAGTGTAGCTTTGCACTTCAGCATGCTGTGTAGCGCAACAAGATGCCTACTACTTCGCATAGTAATGAAAGCTGGATCACATAACTACAACACCACAGTCTTGGAATGAAACAGCAGCGCACTCTTACAGCGCACTGCCACAAGATGCTTACTACTTAGCATAATAATCAAATCTGGATCATATATATATATATATTTATTTATTTATAACTAGACTATAACCCCACACTGTTGGAATGAAACAGCAGCGCACTCTTACAGCACAGATCAATCACGATCACGGGCGGCTGGCTGCGCCATGTTTCACAACACATCGCACAGACACACAGTATACTCCGCTGGGCAAAAAAGATGTTGCAGCACTGCATCTTTCCTGTAGACGCTGTAAAAGTGTCTACAAATTAGGGCTTTGGGGCAAGACTGTCTTGTGGAGATGCTGTAAGAGTGTCCATGAAACAATCGCAAGTAGACATGTAAGTTGCATTCAATTTTCTGATGTCAGTGCTGCCCAGGTACACTCCCACTGTCAGGAAAAACATCGCGGAGCACTCCTCAGAGCACAATCATACAATTGAAAGATATTGAAAGTCATGTTCAATTGCCATGTGCCAGCCAGTCTTACAGCGGTATTTCAACGCTTGCCAACATCGAGGCTGAGGTTGCAGCCATGATGGGCCTGCATACGTATACTATATTTTTTCTATTGTATGAATCTAAAGAAATAGAATGTCATGTCTATATAAGCCGTGATGCACCTTGCTTTCCAGCCACTCTTACAGCGGCAATTCGGCAATTCAATGCTTGAGAGCATAATACCATTTAAAGATATTGAAAGTCATGTTCAATTTCCATGTGCCAGCCACTCTTACAGCAGCAATTCAATGCTTGGCAAGAACGACACTGAGGTTGCAGCCATCGTGCCTGTATATACTATACTCTTTATCTCATAAGCATGGATGATGGGATGGGGATGATGGGAAAAAGGTGGGTTGGTGATGGGGTGGGTTGGTGATATGGGATGTGGACGGCGGGATGGGATGGGTACTGAGACCTCTAAATTTAATTATTTTCACTTTAGGCACTTAATGAAAATATTACTAGTTATTTGAACTTATGATAGAAGTGTATTTTACTTGTGTTCAATTATTTTTCACATTATTTTCACTATTTTAGTTATTTTTATAGCTTTTCGAAGTTTCAGAATTGATCATGGATGATTTTTTTCCGTCATACATTTGGAAAAACACAATTGATTAGAAGAAATAAGTAAAAAACAATTGGGTAAATTTGCATTTTTTAAACATCTAGTACCCTTTTCAGGATATTTTCCTATTCAGGAACCATCCTTTTCAGGAGCTATATCCTTTGCCTTGGAAGCCATGGCAGAGAAAGAAGCAGCGGTTCAGCACAGGCTAGCTGCTAAAGTATGGCTGCGAGTCATACTATAGATTCTCTCATAGCTGCTTGTAATGATTGTTAAGTAAAATATGTTGGAAAATAATATATATATATTTATTTATTTATTTATATATTTAAAAACAAAAAACATTTAGAAACTTAAGATGCTGAAACGGTAACTCC